GTTTCCAAATGTACTCTTCAAGTAACAGCTAATTACTGTAAAATGTGACATTTTAACCTCTTTCACAAGAAGCATAACCTATATCTCCCAGAATGCACCATTTTTACAGCAATCTGCAGTATTTGAGGAAAACAGTCCAACCTTGTTGACAAAAACGTTTCCAATATAAACAAAAACAGAATGCAATTATGTGCAAATCATTTAAACCATATATTTAATTGAAACTAATGCAAAGGCAAAATATCAAACCTTGAAACTGAGAAACAAAAAAGATAGGACAGGCTAACCAAAGACCAGTGAAGTTAGTACAATGCTAAAAAAAACACCATCTTACAATAATTAGGTCTATTGGCAACAGGTCAGTGACATTATTGGGTATAAAAAGAGCATCCCAGAGAGTTAAGTCCTCCAGAAGTAAACATAGAGAGTGGATCACCACTCTGTGAAAGACTGCGCAGCAAAATAGTGCAAAAATTCACGAAAAACATTTCTTGGGGATTTCATCACCTACGGTACATAATATCATTAAAGCATTCAGAGAATCCAGAGAAATCTCTGTATGCAAGGGAAAAGTCTGAAAACCAATATTGGCTGGCCATGTTCTCAGGCTCTCATACAGCACTGCATTAAAAACAGACATGATTCTGTAGTGGAAATCACTGCACGGGCTCAGGAGCACTTCTGAAAACACAGTTCATCACTGCATCCAAAAACACTGCCGCCTTCTCTGGGCTTGAACTCACTTAAGACAGAATGAGGCGAAGTGGAAAAGTGTCCTGTGGTCCAATGAATCGAAATTTGAAATTCTTTTTGGAAATCATGGACGCTGCGTCCTCCGGGCTAAAGAGGAGAGGGACCGTCCAGCTTGTTATCAGCGCATAGTTCAAAAGCCAGCATCTGTGATGGTATGGGGGTGCATAAGTGCACATGGAATGGGTAACTTGCACATCTGTGAAGGTACCATTAATGCTGAACGATTTATTCAGGTTTTGGAGCAACATATGACATCTAGATGACGTCCTTTTCAGGGAAGGCTTAGCTTATTTCAACAAGACAATGCCAAACCATTCTGCATGTATTACAACATCATGGCTCCATAGCAAAAGAGTCCAGGTGTTAAACTGGCCTGCCTGCAGTCCAGACTTGTCACCCATTTAAAACAGCTGGCGAAACAAAAAATATGACAAAGGAGACCCTGAACTGTTGAGCAGCTGAAATTCTATATCAAGAGAACATTTTACTTTCAAAACTACCGCAGTTGGTCTCCTCAGTTCCTAAACGCTTACTGAGTGTTGTTAAAAGAAGAGGTGATGCAACACAGTGGTAAACATGTCCCTGTCTACCAGTACAAAAAGAGCATATATTTTGCGAAAAACAATAAAATTTCACAGTTTCAACATCTGATATGTTGTTTTTGTACTATTTTTAATTGTATATAGGGTTTACATCATTTGCACATCATTGCATTCTGTTCTTATTTTCATTTTGCACAGCATCACAACTTTTTTCGGAAATGGAGTACATTAACGCAGAATTTCTGCTGCACATTTACAGCGTTTTTTTTTTACAGTATACAATAACCACTATCAGTTTGTGCTTCTTAAATTAAGTAAGTCTCTGAGATATATCTAAACATGCAGGGACGAGATGAGGCCTGTCAGACACAAGTGAGAATGTGATCAAGGAGATTTTAACGTACCTGCTGTTTGTGCAGCGTAGGGTTGGGGTGGGGCTCCATAGTGCCCATAGTGGGCTTGTGAAGGGGGAGCTCCAAATCCTGTGGGGTAGCCCCCCATTCCTGGCTGGGCCTGGGAGTAAGGAGGTGTAGCAACATAACCCTGCTGGCTCATCTTCCTGTTAGAGTTCTTTCATTCCAGACTGACAGAAGCTCAGCAACCTGTGGAGTGATTCTGAAACAGATTTGATATCAGTTTTCAAACCTTTTTAATACCATACATACATTTTTTGCATTAACATGAACACAAGCTAATCTAATGTTAGAGCATGGATGGTGTCATTGTACAGTGTTTATGGCTTTCACCATTATGTCAACACTCAGTTATCATACCTTTAGTCAGAGACATAATAATACACCAGATAGAGGGGTGTAAAGCTCTGAGTTCATCGTGATTTGAGTTGATGGCAGTTCTTTGGGAAACTATGACTCCATTAGATTGTTTTGGTACAATTCAATAATGTTTTATTAATTAAAATACATTGCATACATAAATGTGACTATTCACACAGTAGTGGAATACAGAAACATATGGCCTTTTTATTTTAGATTTTTATGTTTCTGATTGTTTTTATGTTTTATGTTTCAGCCTGAGACTTTTATTTTGAGCCACAATTATTATTTAACATCATAATTGATTACAAGCCATTTTGTCACACAAATGTTGAAAGACAATAGCAATCTTAGAGGTTTAATTTAAGCAGAACTTAATAAATGTTACCAACAACCTGATTTTTTGTCACATTTACTGCAAACTGAAACAAAAATGTACTTTTTCGGGTGTATTCAACATATTCATCGTATTACATTGTATCTTTGTAACATTTAAAATACTGTCATATACTGCATTGCTGCAAAATGAAATTATTATAATTTTATTGTAAGTATTATAATGCAGTGCAATCTAGGGTTTAGGATACACCCTTACTTTTTTTGTGGTGACTACCTATGCTCAAGTAAACAGCAGTTTAGCCTGTAATATGAAATTATTACCTGCTGAAGTGCTGCAGTTTTTGTTCATACCATATCTCATGGCAACTCTTGGTCACGTGTAAGAAGGATCTTAACCAATGGACTATGATAAGTGGAGTGATTACATTGGCAGGAATACTCTCAACACTGCCTGTCTGTGTATGTGTGATCATTGGTTTCTCCATCTTCCCCTTTAAAGATCAGAGGGAATGACAAACAAAATTTCTTTCCTTTCAGAATTGGAAGCATATATGCCAAAATACAGAGCACCCTGCGCATAACGAAAGGGCTAATGAGGGAAAAAGTTTGTTCAGCCTGCTGATTTAGCCATTAGTCTAATATAGTGCAGTGGTCTGTGCAGATGTTTCACACATCAGACTGCCATCTCTTAACCTAAGGCCTGGTCAAAGAAGTTTCAGCGAGCAAAATCCACTCCTTATGCATCTATAAATGCTTTCTGGCAGGTAATACTAGCCATGTACTGCTCTAAGAGTAGTCCAGCACCCAAAGGAGGGCATCATTTCAGCTCTACCCAAAGCTGCCACGTCAAAGATTAGCGGTGAAACCCGTTTACGTTTAAATAGCAAGACGACACATGTGTGCCTATAAAAAAAACATTTTTCAACAGTTTAGCTACCGCGACATGAAGAAATTGAACCTTTTTGAACGTTGTTAAATGCTAGTCGACTGCCCCACAGTCAAAGTTGTGGTCTGTTACGTCTGTGATGAGCCTCAGACGGAAACTGACAACAACACGCTGCAAACTTTCCTCTTTGCTTTTGTGATTTTTATATAATGTTGTACACCTTCTCAGTAGAAATTCTCAGTTTGTCTGATAATATAAAAAGAAAGAGTCACTTACCGGGAAGGCAGAGATAACGCCGCCTGTCCTGTCTAAATGAAGCTGGCGGAGAGTGAGTGAGCGGAGTGCCACGTCAAACTCCAGCGTGATGAACCCTGCTGCCTGCAGCGTCATCCTCCCGCTGCCTCTGCGCATGCGCACAGCCGTGAGAGCCGCTACACGTCAGCAGAGATGCAGATGTGCGGAGCGAAATCCTCCATCGAGCAGACTGTGTGTGTGTCTGTGTTTGTGTCTGTAAAAGTGACGATGAACACCTGAATGAGCCTCTCAGATCAAATTAAATCACTCCAACGCTTAGTCGGCCTCCTGAGCGAAGGTGTTAGCGCGTCAGATTTAGCCGGCGGGTAACTGTAGGTTAGCTCTGAATCGACCAAAAACCACCAGACAGAAAGATAACGTCAGCTTTATGTTTATTTTAGCTCTTTTCAAGTGAAAGCGGCATTATGAACATTAAAATATATTTTGTCGTGTCTTGTACCAGCAAAATTTCCCCACAAAAAAAGTAAATCAAAAAAACCTCTTTAAAGAGGCGCGTTTAAAGAGTGAGACTGAATCTATCTACACGCGCACTCGCGCGTTCAGGTGACGTCTGAATACAACTCGGCTGCGTCCAAATTCGCATACGACCATGATAAAGAGTAGGCCTGTGTCACAACAACACTATTATTATTATTATTATTATTATTATTATTATTATTATTATCATTATTGTTGTTGTTGTTGTTATTATTATTATTATTGTTGTTGTTGTTGTTGTTGTTGTTGTTTATTTTTACTATTGGGCGACGTCAAGATGGCTTCGACTCCTGGAGATCATATATGTGCTTCTTCAGAATATCCTGTCTACTATTTGGGTATTTAGGCTTTGTAATGGATTGTTGTTGATACCTCTGATTATCTCCATCCGTCTTGTTGCTGCACTGTGAAAAAAATGGTATTTCAACTGAAAAATAGTTACGGGGCTGCCTTAACAGGTTGAGCTCATTTAATTTCAAATAGAAGGTCAGCAGACCTCAATACTTGTCCTATTAATAACTTAACTAACATTTTAAAGGCAGCCCTGCAACTAACCTTTTAAAGCAGGATTGTCTTTTTCAGTGTCTTTTCTTCTCATAACATGTCCAAAATAAGAGAGCCTCATGTGATCTGGGCAGTGAGTGTAGTATAGCCTACTTTGTGGTTTTGGACGCAGCATCTCTACAGAATCCTGTTCAGGATCGTTATTATTCTCTACTGTTGTTCACTACTCTTAGTTGTTACTCACTAGATCCTGATTGAGCCCAAACTTAGACTAAAGCTGATTTGAGTGATTCCAGCTCCAGCTCGGCTTGTAGCTGGGCATGTCTCAGAGCAGTGACGCTGAAAGTGGGCTGGACCTGATGTGCTCTGGCTGCACACCTACCTAGAGTTTTCAGAGACTCGGCTGATCGCGCTTCATCGTTCAGAGCTCTGTGGCGGAGGGAATGGGCGCGGGGGACCACGCGTGGATAACGGGCTGGGGCTTTGGGCTCCAGCACAGCGGCACTCAGCCTAACTGTACCCTCAGGGTGGATCAGGTGGGGCTCTGATAACGCTGACTACAAATTTCATATGAAACAGTGTTAAGCAATGTATTGAGTGATGAGGCTGCAAAAAGTTTGATGCAATCATTATGACTGAGAGCATCTTCGTCACAGTGCTACTGTATGTCTTTTCTTGTTTGGAGTGATTGGGTTTATTTAAGGCTTTAAGGGCCAGTTTTGTTGGGAAAAGAGGTTATGTGCGCTCCACTGTATCAGTTGTGAAACTCCTCAGGTATGCACAGCAGGTTTGGAACTCGAGAAGCTTCAGTCGCGGTGGGTTTATGGCAACTGAGCGCTGGATGATCAGTCTTTTCAATAAGCATAATTCTATACAACAGGTTGGTTGTAAACATTTCTTTATGATCATGTTGAACTTGAGATGTAAAACTGCATTGGAAGCAAGTAGACTGAGCGCCTGCCTTGTGAAGTTATCTGAATGGGGCTTCTGTGTGTCCATCAGGAGTTCTTCAACTTGGGGGGTTCAAGTTCTGAGAACAGCTTTCATAATACAGTCATGCTTTGCTATTTGCTTTCAAATCTGAGGAAATGGAGGTAGTGATGAAAGTAGTTACTGGCCCTCTCCATCACCCTCGAGCAGGGGCCCTTATATGGTAATGGCACAGCAGCTAGCTGGTGAGCGCAGTGCGGTCTATCTGTGCTCACTCTGGGGATGTGATCAAAAATCTAAACAAGTGAAAACTGTTAGGACTGGGGGAGTATTATTAATGGACTTTAGGAGTTAAGAGGTGACACAGAACTCAAGTGTTTACACAAGAGCGCAACGGTTGTGCAAGAGGGGTTTTTGTAGACACAGACATTAAATTAGAGTCTGAGTGGACAGATGTGCCAGATTTTGTTGTTTTTCTTAATGGAAGTTTTTCTTGCGTATCTAACTATCATCAACACCATTGCTATTCTGTGCCTTTCATGACAAAAGACATAAAGCTATACAGGCATTTGTAAAGGCTTATTTCAACAGCTGTCAGTGGTTACACTTGCTGAGATCACAAAGTCAAAAATGGACAAAAGCAGCCTTTATGACAACTGACGCTTGTTGGAATAAGCCTTTATAGCAGTTTTTGTAGGTTTGTAGAGTATTAACCTCTGTTTTTCACACTCTTAAAAGAAAGGTTTGTAAATGTTTTTTGGTTTGGATGTAGAGTTCTCAGAAAAAAACATTAATTTTTAGGATTGCATTAAATTTAATGATTGCATATACCTCATTACCTTCTGACATCACTGAACTTCCGGATTGGCACACATTTTTTCATAATCTTTAATTGCTTTAATCCTAGAAGTCTGTATATACAGTAGGAACATCACTGTTCAGTTACATGTTCCAAAGCTATTGTAAAACTATCTGGCACTTCTGAGAAAAAGAGTTCTACAACACTCGAAGTATCTTAACAGGCATGATTTTTAAGAATCAGAATTTCTACATAATTAAATTGTTGAGATGTAAACAAGGTCATTCTGGTTTGATGTGAAATGGTTAATTATAGTGAAACTTACTGACTCTTACATCTTTACAGTGGTGGTGATAGGAACCAGGGGTTGCAATGTCTAAAAAAAAAAAATAGCCATTTTAGTTACTATCTAAAAACGTCAGTGAACCTGCACATGTCTTTTCATGCACAAGTTTTTGCATATAATGTTGATAATGGTAAAATAGTAATAAATCAAAAAAATCTTTGGGGACTATTTTGCCTTACAATCTTCTCAAAACTACTATGAAACAATGTCTGAGAGGCACCAAATTCATAATTATTTAATGTAATAACTTTCTGTGAAGGAGCATTTATTGTTGAACATCTGGTTCCTATCACCACCACTGTGAACGACTCCAAATAGATAAGTTTCTCTAGAATGGAGTATTTCACAACAAACCACTCTGAATGTCTTTGTTTACATATTATTGACCGAATTATGCAAAATGTTCTGAAAAATAGTCAGAATTCCCCTTTAAGATAACCTATAGCCAATATGTATTTGGGCAGACAGTGACGCACTCAGACTACACATAGATTCAAGCAGTCAGGAGAGCTGATGAAAAATGTTACCCTAAAATTATCTAAAAGAGCATAGGTACACACTTTACAGATTTATATGACATGCAGGGGCCCTAAATGCTGAATATCTTTATTTTCAGGTAGCTTTATGGGCAGCTCCATAAAATGTTTACACCAAATATTGGATTTTCTTTCATAACTCACTAAAGTTTTAATAGTCAGTAGTAGTTTCCCAATAGTGCAGATGTCCTGTACTCTAAACATAATGGTTTTCAGTTGGCTTCATACTTTAGGTCCAGCTCTGTTCCATGATTCTTTTCTTTATTCTCCTGAATTTCTTCAATAATGATCACATAAAGAATATTTGGAAAGCTTGCATATTTTTACTGGCAAAATATGTCATTTATTTGATGAATAACACCTAAAAGTGAGTAGTGAGACCAGTAAAATTGGCCTTTTGTTAAGCCCTGTTGAGTTAAAGAAAAAGAAAAAGAAAAGCCTGCAGGTAGAATCATTTAGGGGACTTCTCACAGCTCAGTTCCAGTGTGTGAGCCCAGTTCCATTTTGTTTTCATCCATGCAAAAACACTTTGTCCAGGCAGTATTCTCTAAACTCTGTCCCAAAAGTGGGAAAATTCTGTTTCATTGCATTCAGGTTAGGGATCTTGTAGATTTTAGATTTAATGGCTATGAAGAGGTCTGAATGTGGTGTTGTGGTTATGGATTTCGAGGGAAACTTACCTCTTGAACCTGAAGTGCCTGTATGTGGGTCCATGTATCAATTCCTCCCACACATCGCTACATAACTGACATATTAGTTTTATAGTAGTTACTGAATAATATGCCTTAAGATTAATAACTGAATGAGCCCATGGTTAAAGTGGTGGTTAGATGTTATTATTATCATTGTAATGCTGGCACTGGGCATTGCTCTTCAGGCCAAGAACTTACCAAAGGACTGTAAATGGTTTTAAACGGTTCCATGTTTAATTGGTTGTATCTACAACCCCACATTCCTTCAAGGGATTTTTAGTGGTTCTGGTTTTTCTTTTTTTTCACTACCATGTTTTACCCCAAGTGGATTTGCCTGCAATAGGCCTAATTCAACATGCTTACTTATTGATCTTATGCTAACTGCAAATTGGCCCAAATTCTGGGCTGTGGGTTAGCCTAATGTACTGTTCTTCCATGAACTCAGGACATAGTATTCTCAAAGCCTTGCCCAAACTCTCAATCTGTCCTTTAGGAAATCATGTGAGATAGCGCTCTTATTAGCACTATAAATCAGGTGCTCTCTAAATACTGCATAATTAATATATTTGATGGCAGGTGAAGATATGCTCATGTCTCCATGTCGTGTTTCCACATGGCTGCTGGTGCTGTAAAAGTTGTACCTTGCTTAATGATTTTGCCCTGCTGCCATAACTGCTTGGGTTAGTAAACCTGTCATCAACATGTCATCACCACCGAGTGCTAGAACTTTTCAGAAACATGTGCATTCCACTGAGCTGAATGTTGGCCAATGGAGAAAACACAGCAGTCTTAAGAGACTTAAGTGTGAGACAGCATAGCAGTTGTGCATTTTGGTCTGTATTTGTATCATCAACAAGTGCTTTTAACTGCATTCTTCTGAAAGTCACTTAGAGCATGAAAGCTAATATGAAAGGAGTTTAGATGGCCTTTTTTATCCATGAATCCTTCTTCCATTTTGTTGAGCCATCTTCAATCTTCTGAGACTGAGTAAGAGAGTGCCTCTGTTTTATTACTGTGTGGTTACTAACCCCTTTAATTCCCAGACTTATTACATTGTAAAGGTTATTATACAGTTGTTACATGGAAAACGATGCAAAAATAATTGGTTATTCTTAAGTTACAGGAGTGAGGCGTAGAAGCCTGGGCCCACTGACAGGTCCTCGGTATTTAAAGGATTAAGTATGGTCATAAATTGAATTGAATGTTGGCGTATCACTTTAATATCAAAATTGAATAAGCTAATGGGCATTTACTTAGGTACTACATGCTAAAAACCTAATTGTATTTTTAACTGCATTGTACATTTTGTCTCTCGTTGTTGGTATTGTACCGTGTTCAAGAAATGTTCTGCACGTGTATTCTGGGTTATTAGTTCTCAAGCAGCTATTCTCTGGGTTCATTCTGATAAAGAATCTTATTGTGATGGGTTGGCTTTCCTTCACTGTGTTTATGTGTTACATCAGAAAGAACTGGTCAGTCGGAGCTCGGAAGCAAGAGAGTGCAGACGTGAGCTGATGCTAGAGTTAGCTGTTAGCTTAAGGCCTTGCTTTCTGTATGGCATGCAGTATTAACAAGGTTTCATGACTAAGAGTACTTCATTACTTGACACTGCCATTAAAGTTACACAGAACTGAAAGTATTGTATGCATGCTAATAGCAAACAGCTGCCTGTTCTTCTGGTAATTTATTTGTTAGAGTAAGTGTTCACTGTTTAAAGGTATGTCCCCCAGTATGACACTAACACAAGTATACGATTGCAGTTTGATAAAACTGGATTTTCCAAGTATGTCCAGTTTTCTGCAATTGTATGACCAGTTTGCCTAAAATCAAACTGTTAAAAGTAGTCATGTTCATTCCTTGTGTGATGCCATAGAAGAACCACTTTTAGTTTCCCTAAAGAACCTTTCAACTGATTGTTCTGCATTTATTTGATATTAAAGTACTTGATCTAACAAAGCCAGAAATGTATAAATTCTTATTTAGTTTGTCTTTCCAAATACCTTTTTGAACTACCAAGAAAACACATGAATAGGAATATAAGTCACACATCAGTCAAATTTGGTACTCTGATGAAACAAAAATAATAAGCTCCTACTGCTCTGAATGTGCTTGTGCACTTTCCCTTGGAAAAAATCACAGTTCATCCAATGATAAATTTTGCCTCTTGCATCTTTTATACAGTGATAGAAAACACAGTAGCATACAGAAAGCTCCAATTCTACATGCTGATATA